AGGGAAAGATGGGGGGAAAAGATGGGGTCGAGAGAAATCTGGGCCCTGGGGAGTCACTCCTTCATTGCCCCCAGGGACCAGGTACCCGATCCCCCGCGCATCCCGCTCCCCTCCTCCCCCGGACTGCAAAGCACCCAGATGGAGACTTGCCGGGCCCACGCTTGCCCGGACCCCGCGTCACGCGACCCCTCGGCTCCAACCGCCAAGACACAGCAACCGGCGAGGGGCTGGAAAGGAAGAGGGTCCCCTGCGGTCTCACCTGGGGCGGAGGCGCTCGCTCATGTTAGCTGATGGAGGCGAGCGACGCGGCGCCGCTCCGCGAACAGAGAAAACAGAGGGTGTTGTGTTCCGGTGGCCTTGGCTCTCACAGCGGCTCCGGTGGAAGCGGCCGGCGGTGAGTACCCCTCTGTGGGACCCGTACCACCTCTACTTCCGGCGTCTGCTCCGCGCCCCCCCATGTCGCAGCCGCCGTGGTACCGCCCACCCGCGGCTGCGCAGTGGCGCGACCCCGGCCGCGCCGACCGGTAACCCCACCCACAGGAAAAGGCGGGCTCGGAGCAACCGGGAGCTTCTGGGAGAGAGGACCTCGTTAGAGGTCGCCCGAGCTTTCGCCTGTTCGTAGCCGAGCGGGGATACCTTAAGAGTCAAGCCAGGTTTAAATTAAATTAAACTATATCAGAATAATATGATACAAGTATTTGAGTTAAATCCCTGTGAGGTCACAATTTTTTTTAAATAGCTGAGAAGCATCAGGCAGTGGTGCGGACGTCCTGCCCCGGGTCCCAGGACTGAGAGTTGGGAAGCGGCGCGTGGGCTGCGCTGGAGCGGGGGCGGAGGGTGGCCTGGCCCGGTGCTTCGTGGTCTTATCTGTCTCGCGAGGTGAGGCGCTGCCGTGGGGGGAGTTTCCACGGGCGGGGATGTTTCTTAGGGCCTCCGCCGTAGGTCTGGGCACGAATGTGGCGACAAGAGGAGAGTGGGGGGAGGGCTTCCTGAAGCCGAAGATTGCGACCCCGTAGGCGTCCCAGCGGTTCCGGCGCCTGGGGCTGGGGGGCTGCGGGGAGGCCCCAACCAGGAAGCAGCAGGACTGCTTTCCTGAAAACGTTACGGGCAGGGGGCTACGCCAGATAGTACTGCTGGGGGCGGGGAAGTCCGCTGGAGAGCGCAGGAGCGGCGGGCGAAGATTAGCCTAACTTTGAGGTCCGCCCTGTGCCCAGGAGGGTGGTCAAGTCTGCTTTCTGGAACAGCGAGGTAGCACAGCCCTACAGGTGACTCGGTTATTTGAATTTGCCCCAGCACTTTGCCACATTTATTCATTGTATGTGCTGTCGAGTGACTTCCCTAATTGTGTTTTTCAGAGGCCGACATTAAAATCGCAACTGGAGAACGGAGACCGAGGCATGCTGATCCAGGAGAAACAGTCGCAAAATCAGCATCTTTCTAGAAAAGCTTTGGTAAGAAAGCAGTTAGTAGGGAAGAACCTTTGTATTCTCTTACAAGTTAATCACTAAAGGGGTGTTGCCTGTAAGCTTAAATTACACCTAATGGTCCATCTCTAGGAACCCTGCCTCCTAGGTCATAAGCATGAAGCTAAAATACCTTTGTTTAGCTCAGAGGAAACAGCCTGACCAGGTCCACCTGTGAATCACTGCAGGAAGGAAGAAATTAACACACCCCTTCCGGAGGCTGATGGGAACTCCAGGAAATGTTTGGCTTTACTCCCTTCCCTTTTAGTATAAAGGATGCCTGAATTCTAACTCGGGCAAGATGGTTCTTTGGGATGCGAGCCCCCCATCTCAGTCTGCCACAGCTCTCCAAACAAATTCCCTAGTCCTCGCCCCAAGAACTCATCTCTCGGTTTATTGGCCTGTCCTGTGGTGAGCGGGTGAGCTTGAACTCGGTAACATTAAGGCATCCATGGTGAGACGTTACTGTTCAAAGGTGCGGGAAAGATCTCAGTAGGATTAAGTGTGAGGATGGCACGGTGTGGAAGCACATGCCTCTAACAGGTGTCTTCTAAAGTCGTTAGCCTAAGGCCCTTGGACTAGCTTCCGTTGTGTGTATTTTTGTAAATAAACAGCCCCTAACTTTTATTATATTGTCAAAGGGGTACCTCCAAAGTAAGAATAGTTGCTGTAGAAGACAGTTTTGTTTTTTGTGAGTTTTTTTGTTTGTGTGTTTTTGTGTGACTTCATGTAGGATAAGGTGGGTCGGTTGGTCTGATGGATTGGCCAGGGCCAGGCCCAGTGCTCGGTTCTGAGAATAACAGCTGTGCACAGGGTCCACCTGTTCCCTGCCCTCTGGAACTTGATAGAATAAGAAATGTAAACAGAATTAACTCATCTGAGCTTTGGAATGAAATACGTCCTTTTCCTGACTGGAGAGAATAATAGAGGCAGCAGTGGTACATGGTGTAAAGTTTTTTAAATGTTTTTATGTGGCATAAATTTCACAAAAGTGTCAAACTAAACAAATTGGTCATTAATCCGTTGTACTACATACAGCAAGTAAAGAATGGGGGACCATGTTACCTCCACTTACGTATTATTTGTGCATTCGCTATACTTCTGTATACGTGCATGTATATATGCTTATTACTAATGCGTTAAATGTCAGTAGCATTTCGTTTTTCTTGCTTAGACAATAGAAGCTCTAATATTTTCTTCTTGCCCCAGTGGATCTTCTGTATGTCACTGGAAATGCTAGTCTAAGCCACCGTGGAATCCCAGCCTGAGTTTTTCATTCTTCACCATTCTTCCCTTGAATGATGTGTTTATAACAGTTTCTTTATACTCATGTGCTATCCAGTTGACTTGCTACAATGTTAAATAGCAGCCATTTTATTGGCATTTTATCTGATTGGCACTCTGGACATCTTTTCCTTCCACTAAGCATTAATTCACTAGACTTAAGTTTTTTGGTCTGGCTCACCTCCTAGTTAGGGATGTTGAAAAACCTCTTTGGTTGTCTTTTGTAATGACTGATTCCTAAGAGACTTTAAGAAGTGTGAAATACCAAGCAGAAATGGAGCCAGGAATATTGATCTTAAAATCCAACTATGTCTGTTTTCTACCTGTGGAAGAAAAAGAATGGGTCAAAAGAAATTTTTTAAAACGTCCTTCAACCTGGCTTCTTTCAAATGAATTTAAAAGGTACAACACCTAAATAAAGTATTAGTATTTACTCTATGGATTGTGTGCTCCCCGTAACCTCACATTTCTCTTTTTCAGGAATAGGAGAGCTATTCCACCCAGAATGGAAGTGTGTCCTTACTGTAAGAAGCCATTTAAACGATTAAAATCCCATCTGCCGTACTGTAAGATGATAGGACCAGCTGTGCCTGCTGTTTGTCAGTCCAAGCCAGCTACACTCCCACGTGCTAAAAAAATCAAAGGGCCAATCAGAGACTCAGTTAAAGCAAAAGAGAAAGGGTTAGGGACAGGTAGTAAGAAAACAAATCCTGAATTGAAAGGGGACAGATCAGAACAACAGACAGTTAAGTCCTCTCCACGACTAGCTGTCAGTTTGGAAAAAACAAGTAATACAAAGGCTGATAAAGACTTCAAGAATCAAAGTCAACCCTCCCTCAAAATGCTAAAAAATACTGAACGGAAGATTACTTCCCAGGGAGAAACTACAGCTCAGTTTTCTGCATCAGAAAACACCACTCCTAAAACAGAGCTTTTTGCCGAAGACTTGTCTAAATCAGGGGAAAGTAGAAATGACCCTTCAGAGCCCGAAGCTTCTTTAGTTCTTGGCCCGATGGAACCTTCTGTGTCAGATCAAGGTAGGAAATACCCTTCGGCCTTCCCGAATGATGTACCAGCCACTTCTGCTGATTTAAGATTGGACAGAGTGGATTCCCCAAGACAGAACCTTCCCATAAAATTACTAGATATGCCTCTGGGCGATTATCACGGTTCTCCCACGAATCTCGATTATGGGGTTAAAGGGGTAAGCACATCATCAAGCAGTGAGAGAGATTCCAAGGCTGGGGATTACCTCTTGGGAGTCTCTACTAGAGACTCTGGGACTTGGGAAAAGAACACCGAATCACAGATTGCAGCTTTTAAAGTTAGCCCGTTGGGTAAAATCCAGGTCAAGGAGAACCAGGGAAAAGGACTTGACCTTGGAGCAGAGGCATGTGGGAGCCAAGGAAATGCAGAGAAAAGCGCATTTGCAACAGAAATGCAGGAGTGGGCTGCCGTGAGCGATGATTCAGTCATGGAGAGGAAATCTCGAGGTAAAGGCCCCGATTTAGAGTTGCTCACGCCAACGGGGACAAATTGCAGTGAGCTTCTCTCTGTATCACAGTCACGTAATCAAAGTCTTGCCTCTCTGGCTATGAAATTTCTCCAAGAAGAGAAGGCAGAAGCCTGCAGCTGTAATCAAGTCCCTGCTATGAAGGCGTTGACAGAGAGTGAGGAACAAGCTTCTCTGACACCCAAGTCGTGCCGTCGGCCACCAGCATCGCACCCCAGGGGCCAGCATTCTGCACATTCAACCCATCATCACGCTTCTAAAAGCCCCTTCACAGGTCAGATCGGTGCCACCGACAGAAAGACCCTGTCTAGCTCCCTGGGGCTGGAGTGGTTTCCAGAGCTCTATCCGGGTTATCTTGGACTCGGGGTGTTGCCGGGGAAGCCTCAGCATTGGGGCATATTGGCCCAGAAGCCTGCGCTCATCAGTACCCAGGGGGGAGGCTGCTCACAAGGTAAACACACTCCCGTTCAAACTCATCCAAACAGCTCTGCCTTTTGAATCAGTGAGGTTCAGAACGCCCACATTCTCACTCACTTGACCTTCCTCGTACCTAGGCACTCCAGTGCGCTGCACGTGTAAGTGTCCTCAGAACGTGGCTTCTTGCTCCCAGGGGTCAGTAATAACAGTGGTTTATCACTCTCCCTTCCCCTCCACCGAGAGGTGAGGGTTGCACTATGACAGGCTGGCCGGTGATGCTGATAACAGTTGACCACCTACATTTGGAAGAGGCGTGGCCTCTTCTAGAAATTGGGTGGGTATTCAAGCTGAAGAGACTCAGGAAAAACAGGAAGACTTCAGGGTCTGCCTAAACAGAACAAGTGCCGTGCTCAGATTTCAGTCAGGACCAGGTTGGGCAGAAAATAGGTCCCAGACGTGTGGTCAGATGCAGCATCTAGCAGTTTAGAGTAGCACAGAAGGGGGCTTCCCTGGTGGCGCAGTGGTTGAGAGTCTGCCTGCCGATGCAGGGGACGTGGGTTCGTGCCCCGGTCCGGGAAGATCCCACATGCCGCAGAGCGGCTGGGCCCGTGAGCCATGACCGCTGAGCCTGCGTGTCCAGAGCCTGTGCTCCGCAACGGGAGGGGCCACAGCAGTGAGAGGCCCGCGTACCGCAAAAAAAAAATAATAATAAAGAGTAGCACAGAAAGGAAGAGCAGATGGGGCTCTTGGCTTTGGGGGCAGGCTGGGGTGGCAGTCAAGGCAGGTGGAAGTGGGACCTCAGGGATGAGCCAGTGAAGATCAGGAGCAGAGGGTGTGGCCGAGAGGGAGCAGAAGTCCATGCCCTGGAGAAGTTAGGCCGCAGAGAATAGGACCAAAGATGGAGCCTCAAGACACGAGAGATTAGGTAAGAAGGATGGGGGGAGAGAGGCTGGACATAAAGACTGATTGGATTGTGAGTCTGTCTCTTCCGAAGCTCCCTGGATGCTCC